AGGAGGGACCTGATTCTTAATATCACTTCGGCCCTAAATAACATAAATACCTTCATATTAAATAAACACTCATTTATTAGCATAACTGTATGATCAATAATTTGGCTCTCGCTTTTTTTGCTTGGTATAGATCACAAACCAAAACATTACATCGAAAGGTCGTTGATTTTACACTTATTGAATAATTTATTTTTCTGACGCCAACCAGGGCATCATTCACAGCATCACTATCAACACACGGCAAATGACTCACGCAGTGATGTCTAAGCCTTTTTCACTTCCTTGTACGAAGTAAAAAGGAAGTATTGTAATCGCGAAAAATTTCAGGTATCATATTTCAACGAAAATATCCATTTTGACCGCTGTAGAATGCAATTTAAGGATGTTTTTGCGTGGCAATTGTACGTAAGGACAGAATAAAAGACTCGTTTCCTCCAAAAAAAATTATAAAACTGCTTTAAAATGAATTCCGAAGAGAACTTTTCGTGGCGTCTGTGCGTACGTAGGTACGTATCTCGCATAACTCAAAAACGAGTAGCCTCAGAAGGTTGAAATTTTGTATACAGGATTGCTATATGTACGAGTGCACCTCGTATTTTGGTTGCAACCTGCCGCGCCAAAAGCATATAGATATATATCAACTCTGTTACTCGGCTCATTGAGCTCAGTTTCTTTATTCTTATATATTTGTAAACTGTGCATTTTTTGCTTTAAATAAGATTGAATTATATTGTTCTGGCTAAACATTTTATGCCTTTAGTTAACCTGAATGCAATAATTATGGAATTGTCAACAATTTAAAAGTTTTTTTTAAGTGCGGCTAAGCCTAATTTTTGATTACCATGGCAGCCATGTTTGTTTACATTTGAAACTTAACAGATTAGTGGATTTGTTGCCAACCTAGATAAAATAAACTTTTGCAACAACAAAGTAACGCCTTCTTTTATGATTGCGAATTAAATTATGCTTAATTCACTCTGGAATTATCATTTAAATTATTAGCTTGTTTTTGCATAGAAACTGTAATTTTAATTATAAAAATATTTTTTAAAATTGTTTTAACTGTACTTGGTGTTTTATGTTATTCTATCGCTTTCAAATTTTAATGAAAATATTTTGAATTTTTATGTATTTTTGCCTTGCCGCGAAGAGAGAACTGAATTAATTAGTAGCGCATGCGCATTAGGTAAGCGGCGCTGAATCGTCTGCGAAAAGTTTCTTTTTTATTTTCTTTAATTTCTTTTATACATCTTTTAGTTTTATTATAGTATTTGAATAGAACTTGTGGTAATTCTTCAGATGATATAATATTTGTGCACTCTGAGTTGTAATACTGTTAAGTGAACCTAACGCCGAAGCGTCGCTACGGTAAATAAATATAGTGAACTATAAAGAGTGCATTTATTCTATTGTGGTTTATGCTCTACCGACGAAATAGATTTAATTCAAAATTCATTAACCGTTAATTCAATATGTTTAAATGAAATGCAAGAAAATTGCCTATAATTTAATATTCCGTACAAGAAAGTCATGTGGTGTACACATCAGATTTTGTTTTATTTATAAAGACTCTTATCTTTAATTTACTTTGGGAAGAATATGGTGCTTATTTTTCAGGAGCAGGGATAATTTTATCAGGATCTAGAAACAGAATTAGAAAATGTTTATTTTACTTGTACAGGCATGGAGTATATGTGTGGCAGCATATATAAAGAGTTAATCATAAAATTACTAATGCCATTTGCATTCATAACTTTTTCCATCTTGATTTAATAGTAACATATTTTGAACAACTGTATTAAAATTTTTCCATTTCGAAATAAATGTTAATATTAGTAATTAATTCAGTCATTAATTTTTAATAATAAATGCTGTTTGAGAAAAATCTGTATGAATATATGATTTTTAAAGTTATTTACAAACAATCAATTTTTAAATTCCAGTAAATTTACAAACAATCCATTTTTGACAGGTAATTACATTGCAAAAATACGTGAGACGCTGGCTTGCTGTACAAGAATTGCAAAGGCTTCAGAAATTTGCTTTGCTGCAAATCTTATGGGAAAAAGAACAAGATAAACTGAGAAGACAACAAGATTGTGAATGGGAAAAAGACATACAGAGACGCAGACTTAATCCTAAAAATGAAGAGGACTTCGTTTTACTTTTCAGTGACTTACAAAGTTAGCATCATTATATCTTTAAATTATTTATAGACATATATTAAAATATATTATCTTCTAGATAAATGTTTTAATGAGGCTTCTACAATCTGCAAATTTAATTCATACCATCTGTATATGTTCACATACATTCTTTTACACCCCCCCAAAAAAAAAACAAGACTATTTGGAAGGAATTATTCAAGCCCGATCAAGATTGATAACTGTGAAAGAAGGAATAAAGTAAGTGTAATAAAAAAAGAGATATTGATAAATACAATACCAAACTGAATGAACACTAACGAGTTAAAATTTTGAGAGCTAATGTTTTAAAAACTACTCGTACGATTTGTACAAAACTTGGCAGTTTGGCTTAATTTTAGTCGTAGAACCGAAATACGGAAAAAATTGGCATGTCATTTCAGAAAAATTCCGATTTTGTGTCAAAATACCTACATTAGAACAGTGCTATATCTAAACCTAATATATATCCTAAGTCGCGCTTTCGAGATATGAGAGGCGCAATTGGATTGCGTCATTCAACCCAGTAAAACGGGAGACATAGAACTGTCCCCCCTTTTTTTCTTTTCTTTTTTTTTTTCCCCGCAGTGTACATAACAAATTACTTTCACACAAATATTAGTATACATTTCAAAATTTCTAAGGTTTTGTTATGCATAATAAAGTATTTTCAATACCTTTGATGAAGTGCATAAGATTTGACATGAACATAACAATTTACGGTTAACTTCCATTTCTCTAGTTTCATGTTTGATTGAAACAACCGCTAAATCTAACATTATGTACAAAAAACCACCTATTTCAACTTCTACTAGGTTAATTAACTCGACACTCGTTACGTTCAAAGACGCCCTCTTAAAAATCTAGACTAATGTGTCATTTAATTTAATACCGAAAGTAAAGGGTTTCCGAAGAATCTTTCAATAAATCTCTAATGTACACTTTTTTGAAAAAAAATCGAAGCGCCATGAAGGAAGAGGTTGTTTTTTATGAAATTGAATATGTGTCTAGCTCATACATAGATAATAAAATAATTAAAAAATCAAGGTCATATTACCTGTTTACGGTTCAGAATCACCCATTGAGTGTTCAAATTAGTAGTTGGTCGAACCGTCCCTGCCGGCAATGCATGCTTGAATTCGTCGAGACAAGGAGTGGTAGTGGTTCCTAATGTCATCCTGCGACACATTCTGCCAGGTATTCAACAGTTGTCTCTGCATATCTGCGATATTTTGGGGTGCCCAAATCTGGAGGCCTACCATGCCCCAGACATATTCGATTGGTGAAAGGTCTGTTGAATTATGTTGTTCTGGCTAAACATTTTATGCCTTTAGTTAACCTGAATGCAATAATTATGGAATTCTCAACAATTTAAAAGTTTTTTTTAAGTGCGGCTAAGCCTAATTTTTTATTACCATGGCAGCCATGTTTGTTTACATTTGAAACTTAACAGACTAGTGGATTTGTTGCCAATCTAGATAAACTAAACTTTGCAACAACAAAGTAACACCTTCTTTTATGATTGCGAATTAAATTATGCTTAATTCTGGAATTATCATTTAAATTATTAACTTGTTTTTGCATAGAAACTGTAATTTTAATTATAAAAAATATTTTTTAAAATGGTAAGAAAGAGTATCAGCCGCACAGAGACAGTTCAGAAATATACGAGCGGTATGTGGCATGGCATTATCTTGTTGGAAAATGGCCCCATGATGACGTGCCATGAAGAGTAATGCAACCGGCTACAGCAAGGATGTCAAACTCGCGGCCCACAACAAATATTTTTGCGGCCCGGGCCATATTCGGCAAATAATAATATATAATAATCAAATAAATATCGACGAAGAAAAAAATGAAATGTTTACTGCTAAGTAAAACGATAATTTATTCAGTGTTGTTAGATTACTCACAGCGAGCTGACAACACACTACTTAAATTACAAATGCGTGTGAGTAGCTTGCGTTCAGCTACCTTCGGCTATTGGGAGACACGTGCACTCAAACTTGTAAGCATCCCCCGATAGCCGAATTGGCCGAAAACTCATGGTCTCAGTTTTCCAATCATAGTTTTGTACGATATATTGTGCATGCACTTTGCTTTATTATTAATTATTACTTAATTAATATTGTTACGGATTTCATAGTATTTATTTTATTTAGTTTTTTTTATTTAGAATTGTAATTAGATTTGCTTCATGTTGCCTTAGCAACGCAGACGATTTTTGAAAAGACAGCTGCGTTGGAAGGTTAAAAATAGAACAGCGCGGCCATTTAATACCTAATAAATAAATATCTCGAATTGCTGTTGCCATCCACAAAAATCCAGATATTTATAGATGTTTCCAGTATATTCGAGAAATTAATTATAACCTTATAAAAGCCGAGAAACAACACAACTCATCTCAGTAGTACTTGTAGTTCTAGCGAACTGTTTGTTTACTTAATGCTGTCATTGATTTCTAGCGATTTCGCTGTGAGATAGAATTCGTTTCTCTGTTTTGAATTGATTTTTGCTAAACGTTTGACATTTGTGATATTATTAGAATATTTTTGAAGAAATATTTCAGCATTATGATTTATCTCTGTGGATAGAATAAATTTTGTAACTTTTTAACGTTAACCGTTTTTATTCCAGCCCTTTGTATTCAGTATGTCTCTATCAAAACCAAGTGGTAGTAAAATTAAACGAAAAATCGCTGACGAACATAGAATATTCCAAGTAAAATGGGAATTAGAATATTTTTGCTGTGAAATAAAGATAAAATAATCTGCTTGATATGTAATAATACAATTAATGTACTAAAGTTATATAATATTAAACGTCATTACGAACAACACAAATCGAAATATAACAATTACGAAGGATTAATGAGAGAAGAAAAGTTGAAGAAAGAGCTCAAGTTAGGAGTGAAAAAGCAACAGTCCATGTTTAGTAAAGTATTGCAAGAAAGTGAAGCGGCGGTACATGCAAGCTACGTCTCGTCCGAGTTGATAGCTAAACATTCGAAGCCTTTTACTGACGGTGATTTCATCAAGGTATGCCTAATGAAAGCTGAAGAAATTGTTTGTCCTGGAAATGTGAAGGCTTTTCAATCAATTTCATTGTCTCGAAATACAGTTGTGGAAAGAGTTACTGATTTAGCCGCGAATTTAAGTGATCAGATCAAAGCAAAATCATCTAGTTTCGAATGTTTCTCCATTGCCTGTGACGAGAGCACGGACATTAGTGGCAAAGCTCAATTAGCAGTGTTTCTTCGTTCTTGTGACAAGAATTTTAACATTTTTTAAGGAATTACTGGAGCTAATACCGATGTCTGGTACTACCACAGGAGAAGATATATTTACTTGTGTTTTTAGACTTCTGCAGAAATACAATCTACCTTTGGCAAAATTAAATTCGGTAGCTACAGATGGCGCTCCATCAATGACCGGGGAAAAACAAGGGCTTTAGCATTACTAAGAAAAAAACTTAGTGAAATTCACGGTTCAAACATTCATCATATGCTTGTAATTATACATCAAGAAGTTCTATGCACGAACGAAAGTAATAATATGAGAATGTTTGTCATATATAAAAAAAGTTTTATAAATTTTATAAGATCTCGAGGTTTTTAAATCAGCGTCAATTCACTGCTTTTCTTAAGTGAGTTAGATAGTGAATATTCGGCTTTGTCCTACTATACCGAGGTACATTGGTTATCTTGCTCCAAGATTCTCAAACAATTGGATTGAAGGGTGTGGTGTATTTAATTATGGCAAAGCACACGAGGGCTATCTGCCTAAAGGGAGGGATGCCTTTCGTGGAGGACTTTCTAAGGGAAACTGGCTCGTATACACGTTACACATGGGGAAAACCACGAAAACGCCCATGCAGCCAGCCCGTTCGCGGGATTCGAACCTCAGACCGAACTACCAGTGTTCAGCGTCTTTACCGCTCGGCCGCTGGTGGGCACCTGGGATTTGAAAGAAAAAATATGTCAGTTTTTAAAACACGAAAAATCAAGACGTAAGTTTGTTTTACGATCCAATATGGATACAAGATTTATCTTTCTTGGTGATATAACCAAACACTTAACCGATTTAAATTTATCGTTACAAGGAAAAAGATCATATCATTACGAACATGTTTGACATAATTAAAACATTCAAATGTCAACTAGTTCTTTGGGAAAAACAACTTAAAAATGAAGATTTGACGCACTTCCCGACGTGCAGCAGGAATAAATCAAGTTTAGATGGTACTTGTTCGTATCAAAAATACGCAGAAAAAATTGCAAATTTAACAATTGAATTTGAAACGAGGTTTAATGATTTTAGTTCCCTCGAAGACAAATTTTTTTTGTTTTCTTTGATTTTCTCAATAAGTATTGACTCAATACCCAGCCATATGCAAATGGAGGTGATCGAGATTCAATGCGACTCAAATTTGAAAGCAAAATTCATTGAAGTGGGCGTACCTGAATTTTACAAATATTTACCAGCCAGGTTTGAAAATACTCGAAAATTCGCATATGAAATTATTTCCATGTTTGGTAGCACTTATCGGTGCGAGCAGTTATTTTCAGTCATGAAAGGTAATAAGTCTCCTATTAGAAACCGTATTAATGATACTCACCTTGGGTCAGCGTTGAAAGTTATCACTGCAAACAAAATTTCTCCCGAAATAGGAGAGAAGAGATGTCAAGTATCAGGACGTAAACATTAAATTTTTCTTGTTCTTTTCTATATAAATATAAATATATATATATATATATGTTTATTATTGTATTATTCGAAATAAATCTACGTTTCTATGAATACTGATTTTTTTTTTTTTTTTTTTTTTCGGCCCGCCTAAAGTTAAACCTTTTTTGTTTGGCCCAAGTGTACCTATGAGTTTGACATCCCTGGACTACAGGATGCTATCAACATATCTTTGAGCTGTTAAAGATGACGGAGGATGACTAAAGATGACCTGCTGTCATAAGAAATAGCGCCCCACACCATCACACCAGGGGT